TTTATTTATTTTTTTTACAAATTAAAATGAAATCCAACAAGGTCCATTCATATTGAGATGCACCACGAATTTGTAGCATCACCTTTCATTGCAATTAAGCCGTATGTATTTTACAGTAAGTCTTTTGAGCCTCCTTTGGTCTAGTCTACCATGTATTTGTAGGTTTGCAGCAGCATCGCACTCTTTAATTTTTTTTTCTTTTTAGATTACGAAACAAACATTGGTTTGTGGGATATTCACACAGATGCTGTTTTATAACTTAGCCGTCTCATAAATTTCTCCACGACTTCCTCCTTGACCTCTGAGGTACTTCACAGAACAGGTAGATTTATGCAGAAATGTAATTACACACATGTGAACATATGAACAGCTTGCTTTCTTGTGGGGCCTGGTTTGCACTGGATCTAAATTTAGGCGTATTCGAGACTTGAGTGCTGAATTTGTATGAATGCCACACCTTTTAGTTTTTTAATTTCTGACGGAATGCATCACCATCCCCACTTCGCAATCATGCGCTGTTATGCGCTACTCTGACACATAAAATCCACTGACGTTTGTCATTATAATGTGGAATAATTTTAAAGGTTATGAAAGCTTCTTGCATTCCCTGTTAGCGAGTGTGTTTTTTTTTTTTTTGGTTTTTTTTTTACCTTTTGCATGATTCCCTTTTCGTAGTAATAGCGCAGAGAACGACTAAGCTTGTCATAGTTCATGGCTGGACGGTTCTTCTGCATGCCCCACAGTCTGGCAACCTGGGGAAAAGAAAAGTCAGTCATCCACTTTCCAGTTTTCTTTCCGTCAACGTTCATAAATCACAGGTGTAATTCAACACTATGACCACTAAGGGCCCCCAGTGGCAAACCAAACTCCCGTCTGGTCTTCAAGTTCAACTGCGTCAACAACCCAAGGCTGGGGCGAGTCCCCACATGTGGATTCACTTCCTTTTTATGTAACCCATTACCACTTGAATGCAACCAGAGTCCCGCAGTGTTTCGCAGTGGAAAGGGGAGCAATGGCTGTCAATGAACAGCTGTGAAACATTGCTAAAGTCTTAAATTAAACTCTCAGCTGAGCTGGTAGAAGGACACACAGGAGAGAGGGAGACAAACACTTCAGAGGAATCATGAGGGACGGGGGGGGGGGGGGCTCTAAGAGTTCCAACTGAAGAAGACGAGTTTCATCACCCAGCTGCCCCGTTTGATCTCCGAGTACGCTCTCAGGCCTAATTGCTCCTGTAAAACTCTTAGCCCATTCATTTTTAATGTACAGTAAAGAGATAATGGAAAACACAATATGGACCTGTCTGTCTTAGAAAGAAAGAAAGAAAGAAAGAAAGAAAGAAAGAAACTACCTAAATGGACTAATCAAACTGCAGACTTAAACATTGTGTAAATGTCTCAGGTGAGAGAGATTGGGGGTGGTTGCCCTTTGTTTATCAATTCATTGTGTTTCATGTTGGTGAATAATAAATGGGTGGAGGAGGGGCTGGTGGGGGATCAGAGTCGGTGAGGGAAGGTGGACTCATGCCACTCTGAACAGTTGGAATCGGGATTAAATAAAAAAAGTAGAGAAGAGCTAATCCCAAAATAACTCCTCTGCTCTGCTCATATCTCTGTTGTACATTAGTCATGAATGCCATTAACTCGATCTGTGAACAGAGTGCTGTACAGTAATGGGCCTGAAACTGAACGCCTCAATTATTCATCTCTTTCTGCAAACATAAGCGAACCCGTATTAATTCAAATCTGAAGATTTAAGCAGCTACAGTATTGAGCGCAACGATTTAAACACTCCTAGCATTTTACATATGTCAAGTCCAATGGAAACCTTGGACAAACCTTTAGAAAGTGCGGGAGTAGGGGAGGGGTGGGGGACTACTGAGCAAGACCATCCAGGTTCACAAGAAAGCCCGACTGCTTGAAAGAAGAATAAACAGAACTGACAAATGACTTGAAACTTTTCCAGAAGGCTTTATGTCGGTCTTGCGACGAGCTGCCATCAACAGCTAGTTGGTCTTTGCTGACTGCCACAATACAAGTGGAGAGTCTGTACATCCACTTTTCCCCACATGCTTTCTTTATTTCTGCTGATTATGAACCCAGATGCAGATTTGCTCTTAAAACAGCTTCACCATGTAAATAGCATCTCTATATGTGCTGACTCAGTTTGCCTACATTAAAATGAGGGATTATGGATTGAGGGAATGTCCATTGAAATGTATGCAAATTACAGCGCCAGCAAATAGCTTTTCTTTCTCAAAGACCACAACCGTTTATGTTGGATTGCACAGGAAAAATACCATCTGCTGAAAGCAAAAAATAAATAAATAAATAAATAAATAAAAAACACCTTGTACGTAAAATTGATCAAAACAAAGTGATTAATTACATGTGATTTCCATTTTCCCTCTTTGCCCTGCTCTTACGTTATCCTATCTGTTTCCTCCTGTCATCCATAGCGAACGAGGTCTCCATATTCAAATGATATGGAGAAAAGCTTAATATCTTTGTTTCTGTTTACTTAAAAGAAATTGGCAACTGATGAAGTTTGGGCCTCTTCTAGGAGACTCCTCAAAGTCCCTTTGAATTCTGGTAGTACGAGTAGCATATGGAACCATAGTTCCTGGCTTGTCCAACTTTGCATTTTTTGAGGTAAATTCAGAATTCAGATCTACCTCTTCTGGTTCAATGAGCTTGAACTCCATGCCGCGGCCCGTCCAGGCGATGAAATGGGAATTTCCCGGATCGTCCAGTAGGGCAACGAGGAATTGCCAGAGCTGCAAAGAGCCGCGTCGCTGGTAAGGCGTTCCCTCACGGAAGACACCGCCTGCTTCCTGCTTTACCTCGCCTGGACGTGAGGAACATAGAAAAAAAAAAAGCTTCAGTCTTAGGAGAAGTAGCCAGAAAGGACTCATTGTAGTCACACATTGGTGCTCTTATGATGCTTTAGGTGTCTCAGCTTCTCCGCGTGATTCCCAGGCTTCTCACTTATTAAAAAAAAAAAAAAAGCCTCAGTGTCTAAAGTGAAAGTCGCTGTAAATAAATCAGTGAGCGGCAAAATGCATATGAGTAAACAAACTAAAACGGCGTGAATAATTTCGATATTGAAGTCCATAACACAATAAAATTAAAATTCTAGAAACAGTGACTGATTTTGGCTTCTGCTGAACAATCTAAAAAGCTCACTCTGAAGTAGCTCAAATCTTGGAGTAGATTTTCTGAATATTTTAGAAACAACACTAGTAATGAGAAAACTCACTACTACGTGATGATGTGTGCAGTTTCAATATTTAAAAATGTTATTCTTTGTTTCTTTTTCATGAATTATCTTTCCAACCACCATTTTTTTTTACTTCATTGATAATGGATAGGATGATGGAAGTAGTTTAATGAGAGTGATTTTTTTTTATTCACCTAGTTAGACCAAAACAAAGCAAACGGTGTATTTGCTTTGCAGAAAGTGACCCTGACGAAGATCGAACTTGTCTGAAATATGACGGTCAATGTTAATTTTGTTTTTCACCGAATGCAAGAAGTTTGAACAAAAGTTAAGAGTTACTAAAAAGATCAAACATCAAATGGACCTTTACGGATCATGAGCAAGTCTGAAATTCTTTGAATATTTTACCAAATTTTTCATATGTTCCCAATGTAGGCAGTATTGGGAACATTTGTCGCTCTGATCTTACATACAGAGCGACAAATTGCTGTACTAAGACAGAATTTGACAAATGATCAGAAATGACTGGACAACATAAAACTAAATGTTGCATGGTTAAGAACTAGAAAAAAAAAAAAAAAAAACTGTTTTGAACGAAGCTGTGAGCAGGCTGACGTACCTATGTTCCAGTTTTGCTTCTCAGTTGTTTACCTGTTACTGGATATGTCGTACACAACTGTAGCAACATGAGAACTGTGGCTAAGTTACCGCCGTTGTCTCTCTCATAGAACTCGAACGCTTCACCGGTTCAGCCATCGCTGACACCTTGGGCTTTTCACTCAATCGCTTGTAGCGTCAACAAACAGCCACACCATGGGAAACTGCTCGTCTGTGTGACAGAGGAGCTCCGCATGATGAAACCAAATCCACTTAGTAAAGCTTTGGAGCGCACAAACCTGTTTACATCTCAGTCAGGGATCTCGGGTTTCTTTACAATGCAGACATAGAGATTGGAGTGACCTCATCTGAGGTGCCTGCTGCCCCCGAGCTGACAGCTCGTCTGTTGGGACTGAGGTGTGTGTAAATGTGCGGGAGTGAAGGGCGTGCGCTCACCTTCGAACTTCTCTGGGACAACGCGGGAGTCGTTCTCGAACAGATAGCCTGAGAGACAAGAGGGGAGCTGCGTCAGAGTTTCCAGCAGCACCCTGGATCTGAGAAGAACTCGACTGTGCAATCAGGACGTGTGCTAAACTTTAAATACTATCTCACAAAAAAATACATTCACACTGGAATAACACTGAGGGGAAAGGTGAACGTTCTTCGCCCGACACGCTTTCAAAAGAGGAATGCACATTTTGTAGTTGAAGTAGTTTTTTTTTTTTTTTTTTTTGGGCATTTTTAAAAGCTTTGATATGCCAAATTTGACCAAAAATGGTCCAACAAACAGTGGGAGCAAGGGGAGGGTCTGTTTTCCTTTTTTGCTGGGGAACTATTCTGCTTTTTCCAGGAGTTGTGTTTATTCAAGGATTCATGAGGCAGGGGCGAGCTTTGAGCCTCTGCCAATGGAAACATGAACACACCACTGGTTGGCCAATGGAAACATGGACACTGTTCACTGGTTACCCAATGACCACAGAGCTGTAATGAGTGAAGGTCCATAGTAGAAAGAAATGTAGAGGGGGACGATCGGCTACTTGAAGCTGTGACGCTTTTAGATTTTAAAATGGGAAAAATGTTTAAAGAAAAAATTTAAAAAGTTTTCTTTTTTTTTTTTCTTTTTTTTGCAATAAAAGTCGATCAAGACAATGAGAAAAAAAATCACTGTTACCATCATTGCTGTGTTGGGGGTTTGGGTAACCCTCGGCATGGTGGTACATGGAGGGACAACCAGGCACATCTGGGACACAAACAGAAAGAGCCACAGGTCAGTAACACAAGATGGATCTTATTTCACCCCCTCCTCCCTTGTTGTTGTTCTTAAACCTAAACTTAATTTTGATTATTTACGCCCAGGGGTTAAACACTGTAATGTGTAGTTTGAGAAGTTTCGCGGAGACTACATTCAGTATCACTGATAACCCCCCCTCCCTCCAAAATAGAGCTGCGTTTCTCAGCTAAGACTGATGTGCTGCAAGAACAGAACATCCATTTGGTCCGATGTTAATAAATGTTCAATCCAAGGACAACATCTAAGTGTGGAAAGAAATCTCAATTGGACCCTTTTTATTTTGATACCACTAAGTAAATAAATAAATGCCGATGTTCTGTGACAGTCTTAGACTTTGTTAGAGAACACATACAACAAGTTTAAGGCAGATTTAGGATATAAAATAACATCCCAACAGCACTAATGATCTAATAGCACCAGGGGCATTCCTTCATCTGGGAGCATGGCTGAACTCCGAACCAAAGAAAACATGGCGGTCCACCTGAGCTGACATGCTGGACAAATGGAGAATTAATCATAGAAGCAGCCAAGAGGCGTTACTCTCGACGAGCTGCACAAATCTATAGCAATAGGAAAGCTATTAGTTGCGTAGTACAAAAGTCTAGCCTTTATGGAAGAGTGGAAAGCCATTGATTGAAAAAAAAAAAAAAGTCATAGGAGGCTCTGTTTGGGGTTTGCCAAAAGCCATTTCAAGGACATAGCAAACATGTTAAAAACCTGATCTGGTTGGATGAGACCAAAGTGTACCTCTTTAGTTCAAATGCTATTTGAGGAATAAAATAAACACTGCACATCACCCTAACATAGCATCCCCATTATTAAACAAGGTAGTGGAAGTGACATGCCAGAGAGGATTTTCCTGTGCAAGGACAGGGAGTTGGGTGTTTAGACCAAAACATATTGGTGTTAGAAGAGTTCAGTCAAAGTCCTAAATCCAAATGAGAATCTGTGTCAAGATTTGAAATTAATGTTTCATTCATGTTCTTCAGGAACATTCATTAATGTTCCTGAAGAACATGTGGGGTTTATTTCTTTGCAAAAGAAAGCAGCTATGCTAATCGAATTCAAATTTTGAATTGGGCAAGGGTACACTAGAAGTCAAGGTGTTGCAGAGAAGGGATTCGGTCTCAAAGACAGAGCTGAGTCAGATTTACATTACAAACATAAAACCAAATTGGACAAAATCATAGATCTGCAAATTTTATTTATTTATTTATTTTTTTTACAGATGTCTTTACAGATGTGCACAAGTTAGGAAAAATCATTAAACAGTAGTAAGTTGCAGTACCCGTTTGAGAAAGGGTGTGTGGTGTGTAATGCGCATATATTGTATAAACACCACTAGCATTGTGAGAACAAATTAATCATACATCATTTCGCTCTTGTTGCTGCCGTGGGTATGTTTAAACAAGGATCAGGACAAGAAAAGTAGCACTTTTTACCCGTCCCTGAACCTTGTCAAGGGACATCATCGATTGACTCAAAAAGCTGTATTTGCTACACAAAGCCATTGTGCCTCATTTCCTTTACCTGAGCTGCTCACCTTTGTGCATGTGCTTTTCCTTTTCTATACCTGTCTGTGCACACACAAAGACGATGAGTCAGTGGCTATTCTGTGTGTTTACTGGTATTCTTTTATTTCAGCTATCCGTCAAGTGCATCACCGAGAAAAGCAAGTGGATAACAACTGAAATGCACAGCCCTTTGACTGTGGCTCTCACTGGAGTGACTCACTCCGGGGGAATGCAGCTGCAGAACTGCGGTTGCGATAAGATGCCACTGGGGAAAATCAAGCCCTCCATTCCGGGGCAGCAACTTTGGATCATAGTGTAAATGATATGTCTGGCAACAACAGAGAGTGATGGGTAGATTAGGGTGTGAGCGAGAGCACCGGGGTTAATTGTGCACCGAGTGGAAAGGCCGTTTGTGTCTTTCAAGTGACACAAGGCAGCAGTGACGAAACACTGCAAAGACTCTGTTTTCAAAATGGAGTACAAAGTGGTGGCATGTGTCCGTCTTTGTTTATAGTGTCCGGCCTTTATTTTCCATTTGCTTAAAAACCCAGCCTCATTGCTATTTTTTCCATTAAAAAGGATGACGTTAAAGCTTCGGGACACATTTTTTCCCCCCTCCCGTTTAAACATCACGTTAACAGCCCACATCAACAGCGACGCATGAAGCCGGTGTCATTTTTTTTTTTTTCTTTAAAGGTGCGTCAATCTGGAGCCTTGAATGTTAATCACCCAGATAAGCTGGTGTCACAACGTGGCCTACTTTGCCGTGTATGGTGGCATGTTAAAAAAACAAAAAACAAACAAACAAAAAACAAAACATGTTCCACACGTCTAGATGTGGGAGAACGAAGGGGATTTTGTGGAACGTCAAGTCCCGTCACGCCTTTCGCGGCATGTTCGCCTTGTTTTTGGCGCGCTCCGCTTTTGCGTCGTGATCAGTGTTCACCTTTGTCAGAAAGGGTTGCCACGACACCACTAACTTGTGTAATTAGTTTTTCCGTGTTTAAGGACCAGCTCACAGTGTGGGGTAATGAAATTTAAATGCTAGCAAGAAAAAAAAAAAAAAAAAAAAGATCATGCTGTCAGTTTCACTTTACGTTTTAAGCATTCTGCCAAGGCATGCTCAGTAAATCTTTAATGGTGCAGACAACATGAGATGAGGTAAAACTATTACTGGCTTATTTCTGTGATATTTCACTTGCAGTTGGATCAGTTCTGCTGCTGTGGTAGAAGTCTGGAAAATAAGGTCTGGCTTATTTGATGAAATGATACATTCTACTGTGTTGAATGCTTAGTAGGTGATGATTTAACAATATATTTCTGTGCCATGAAAACTAAAAGCAGAGGTATAATACAGCGATGGGGGTATTAACACACTAAAAACTCTGGGATAAAAAAGGTTTTTGTTTTTTATATTTTCCCAAACTAAGCAATGTTATGTACATGGGCTCCATATGTAAGGCAGATTGGAGTCACAACTGACTTCCTCTATAGTACCCATTTGTCTTGACAAGAAGGTAACAAAAAAAAAAATGAAATAAAATAAAAATGAAGATGTAACTGTATCGCAAGATGTTCGCATTGTTGACCCTACTGATCACTTATCAGGCCAGTTGATCATTATTTAAATATAAATATTCGTAAATCATCTGATTCAATCAGGTTTGGGGTAGGGATGAAACTTTTAACCAGGACTTTCTGTTAAATTAGCGCTGAATAATGAAACTTTTGTGACACTGGACGCCGAAGTTTGTTAAATCTTCACCACATTCAAATCTCTCCACATAGCAGTTATCCACAAAAAAAAAACAAAAAAAAAACATCTTCCTATAATTTCCTCTTCCCTCTGTCTTGAGACTGTGAACGTTTGTCTCAGATGTGGTGATTTCAGCACAGCAGGAACACTTTTTTTTTTAACTTCACGATTCAGCTCATGTCAGTGCGGGCAATCTGCACCGAAAGGTTCCCAGTCAGCTAAGGAGAATCTTGAACGCAGGTGAACGAGGACAGAATGTGTGCCAAGTGTTGGATTTCTCAGGGAGAAGCGAGCCGATGAGCTCCCTGCCTGTGCAGCTCGTCGTTAAAGCGCCTGAGCCGGCTACCCCACCCCGTCCACCGCCCGCCCCACCTTCAGCATTGCCCTCCTTCCACACACACACACACACACACACCCTCTCCTGCAGGCCAGCCAGTGAGAGGTTTGAGTTACCGCCGGCACACTCATTTTTCCATTATGAGTTCATCTGCCTGCAGAAAAAGGAAGCCACTGCTGCAACCTGAAACCCTGGAGCACTCCGCGAGGGACTCTAGTCTTTCCAGTGCCCTCCATTTTCTCAATGAAATTCCTCTGCCTCTCTCTCTCACAGAGGGCGGAGAAAAGCTGCGGCCAAAAGAAGAAACTAAACTTTTTTTTTTTCTTTCCTTTTTTCTTCTTGCTGCAGAGTGTCAGAGAGTTGAAAGGAGGAGTCTCGGAGGCTGAGAGGCAGTCGGCATTCATGGGGAAAAGTTTGTTTTCCTCTTGTACATTTTGTTCTCTAGTTAGCCACGCTCACCAGAGACCTTTCATCTCAATGCAAAAATAAACTTGGAAAAAGTGGCCAAAATATGGACTTACTCCACAAGAACATTCTTGTATTCACCAATATTGATTGATTTTATAGGGTCCACATTTAATTTTTTTCTTTATTTAAGAGAAAGAGAGAAAGAGAAAGCCATTTCGATTGCTGAATATTTCCTCGAAAACCGATGACGGCTTTAAAGTTTGCCTTTATTTGCTTGCAATTTGGTATTCCGTCAACAACACCGCTGTTCCTTATGGATAAGTAGTAAGAAGGCGATTGAAAGTTTGAAGAAGTTTTGGTGAAAGCCATATGGAAGAAAAATGTCAAAATCAATTTTCAAATATTGTCACAGATTCTTGAATTGAAGTTGGGACTTTGACCAGATCATTCTTAACGCACAACGTCTCAAGTCTTCCTGTCTCGCGCTGGGGATGACGGTGTGTTCATGGTGATGTGCAGTGTTAGTTTTCTGCTACACAAAGGGCTTCTGACGTAGGCACTAAACTTTACACGGTGGCTGCATCTGAACACGGCAATATATATTCCAAAAGCTAAACTAAAGTATGGAGACATCATCACTCACCAGGCTCATAGGTGTAGTCTGTGGGCTCCTGCTTAACCATCATGTGGGCTGGTGGAAACCTGTGTGGATGTGGCTGTGGATGTGAGTGCGGCTGTGGGTGGGGTCCGTGCCCCTGTCCGTGGCCCGGTCCTGCCATGTGAGCTGCTCGCTCATACATAGGGTCCAGGTATTCTTGTTTAAAGCTTTGCTGCAGGTATGGCACACAGGGGTCAGAGTGCTGCCGATGATACGCCGCACCACCACCGCCTCCGCCACCGCCGCCCCCTGGACCTCCACCGCCTCCCACGCCACATCCTCCAGTGCCATGTCCAGCTGGGGCAGACGGCATGCGCTGAAAGGCCTGTGCTGGTGGGGGGAACTGGGGGCACATAGGGTCTGCTGAAGTGCCCTGAAACCTGGAACTGGAAGATAAAAACGCGTTGTTCAACTTTTAGATCTTCCATCAGATCCTTTACTGGATCTATGTAACAAAACATGGAAAATTAAGTAAGTAAGTAAAAAATGCATTCCCCCCCGCCCCCCTCTATAACCTGTTGTTGATGTGGTAATTGTTGCTGGGAAGGGGCTGGGACGTGGCAGCTGGGTTCAGGTAGCCGGCGTCGGGCCGTCCAGCTGCTGCAGGTTTCGGGGAGTAATGCTGCTGCATCGGGGACATGGGAGTCCCTGGACAGGAGCTCTTTGCTCCTCCCGCAGCCCTTTTCTGCTCATAGGCACTGTTGATAAAAACGACAGAAATTCATACAGGAATTCATGTCACAACAAGGAGCAATGTTTTTTTTTTTTTTTTTTCTTCTTTTTTTGCAGTCAATAATGTTCGTTAACAGAGCTAATGGGAGATGGGTTAGCGCTCTTCTGTCAATAATGTGTGGTTTTAGATTTGTTGTTGTATGCTCACCATTAGTAGGCCATTGTTCATGTCTAACCGTTACTGCACAGAAAGAGCAAACTGAGTTGCTGTTTGCTTCATTTATTTTGTTGATTTTTTATTTTTTATTTTTTTTTACTATTCAAGCAAACATTTACAGAGACAACCAATCATTGTTCTTTTAGGATCTTAATTACCCCGTTTCAACTTAAATGCTTCAGAAACTGGAAGAGTGTAGTTTTATATTCTTGGTGACACAGAAGGAAATTCTGGAAAAAAGAGGCAACATTTTTACATGAAATTTGATTATGTTCTGTTGGATAAAGGATACAGAAAATGTAAAGATTAAGATGCTTTGGTCTCATCTGCACCAAAGACAATATTCCCCTATTCCTATTGTTCATTCAGATGCTACTTTACAAGTTATGCTGCCACATTCTGTGTCAGAGAGGATATGTTTTTTTCTAGGCAACCTTTCTAAACAAGACATACGTGCACAGATTTTTCAATTTGTGCTGTTTTTTTTTGTTGTTTTTTTTTACTTTGGTGTGACTGTACAGACAAATTGGGGCTGTGGAGTTTGGGGTAGAACTTTTGATTTTTCTGCAATGTCTGTGGAAACTTGCACAGAGGATTTGCAGAACTTTCCAAGAATATTAGCACCTATATTAAATGTTTTCCACTTGTGTATAACTTCTCTCGCTGGAAAATGGTGGGCTTCAAATGATCTGAGAATGGCCTTAAAACTATTCCCAGAGTGACGGGCAGCAACATTTGCTTCCATAAGTCTATTTTCTGATGACTTTTCACTCTGGCATTTTGGTAACACCCAAACTGCCAAGCACCTGCAGGGGGCTAGAGGTGCTCACTTTCCTTTTAAAATTTACAGAAGAAGCAAATCTGTGCTCGACTTTCCCAAAGAGAGCGCTGATGGTCATGGAAACTTTGGCTTTAATCTGCAAATCAAGGTGAAAAACCATGATACCTGGCATAAAGGCACTGCTCTCCGCTGGGGTAGCTGAAGGTTTGTTTGTGGCTACAGGACTGGCTGGGGTCAGAGCCAGGGCTCTGTGGTTCCTTTTTGATGGTGACTGGAGGACTGTGAAATGCCACTGCTACAAGAGACGATAAACAGAAAGCAGACACAGGGTTAGCTCATGCACATTAACAATAGACGTTTCTAGATTCTTTTGTGATTCAGCCCTGCCCCGATACTACTGTCGGTGAGCTTTGAGGCAAAAGGGTAATTCTCCTGCCTGAGCTGGAATGTCTTTTATGTGCCAGCAAAAAAGCAGAAAAAAAGAAAAAACAAAAACACTTAAGTGACTGTCAGTGGAAGCACAGGCCAGCAAACAGACACGTATAAATACACAGTTGCATAAACACGGACAAGGAAGCACACATGCTTGCACACGACCGCATTCCAGGAGCCTGGAGTGTCCTTGCCCACTTTTTTTTTTTTTTTTTTTTTTTCTCGTCCAGACACAACAGCAGCCAAAACTTCCTCTGTCGAAGTCGGAATGAAAGCTAAACAGGCATGGAGGCCAGAAAGACTCCTGATTGCCGATGAAAGCAAACGTCACGTCTCTGTCAGAAGGGCACGTACAGAAAAATCTGTGGCTCAGCGTTTCTTTCTTGTTTGGGTCCAGATGTTAACCATCCCTTTGTCTCCGTGCATTGACAGATAATCTTACATAACCCGGTGAAGTCACATGCGGTATAAAGGGTCCCCTCAAACGGCCACATATTGAACTGTCTGTCAAGATCGACTGCTGGAGGCGACCTTTTGCCTCGACTGCCACAAAAACCACCCAAAGTGGAGCTTCAAACTGTGCAGAGGGCTCGTGTTTATTATGTGAGGGGAGGTTTTCACCCAGAGAACTGTACAGGATGTTTTTCTGGTCCCGACAGGGTAAACAGCAGCAGCTGTGCGCTTCCAGCTGGGGAAGGGAGGCACGCATTCGTGTGTGTGTGTGTGTGTGTGTGTGTGTGGGTGTGTGTGCGCTCGTCGGCTCATCTGTCTGCTGAATATGTGTGTGCGTACGTGTGTGTGTCTGCTGTGGGCGTGGATCTGACGGAACAGGCCACACTGAAAGCACAGCCCAGGTAATTACAAAGTAACGTCCTCCATTCACAAAAAAAAAGAAAGAAAAAAACATCTGGCTCACTGAATGAAGCACAAAATGGCTGTGAGGTAGAAAGTGAGAAGAAAAGCAGGACAGAAGATTAAACGGTGCCTTGGAAAACTATTCACACCTCTTGGACTTTGTCCCCTCTTACATGTTACAGGGAATTTTGCGTGAGGCGACAAACATAAAACAGCATATCACTGCAAGGTGGAAAGGCAGTGTAAAAATAGAGTGATGTCATAAAACAACAAGTGAAGCAAAAAGTGATTTGATCCAGGTGGAACGAATACGAACAAAAGACAACCTCTGACAAATTTTCAGTTGCGTATGGTTCTTTTCCACTTCATAATGCTACTTTGCGGTAGACTGTTACATAAAATCCAAATAAAGCAGACTGACTTTGGTGGATGTAATGTGACAAACTGTAAAAAGGCTCAGGACGTATGTTGTACTTTTTCAATCCAATATATCAACTATTGAGGTTTTTTTTTTTTTTCTTATGTCAACTTCCCACAATTCATCATGCTAATTTATCATATTTCATTTTTAAATCACTTGTGCCACCCTAGATAAACCAATTCGTCAGAACAAGTGCGCTCTTACGTTCCTGTCATTTCACTTTGAGCGGTGTGCCTCGGACAGATCAAACATTTTCAATAAATAAACCGACAGCCGAGTGGCACTTCTCCTCGTCGCGACCTTCCTACTTTTTGCTCTGTAGTCACTCTCCCATGGCAGGCGGACAGGTGAGGAAGTGTTGGCTTTAGCCAGGGATCAACAGGATTAGAGAGCATTTACCCAGATTTCCCAGACAGACACGACGGGGATTCCTGCCTCCTCCAAATCTCCGGCACAGCGTCTGCCGGTGTGTTCACACAGAGGGTGGCACATGACTGCTGCTCTAATAATATGAGTGTGTTTGTCTGTTGACATTCCCCTCTTTTCTTCTCGGGCACGGTCATGAACTGCAAACAATCCTTAAAGGGAGTGTGCGCAACTTGACTCACGGCGCAGAGCAAACTAATACGACCGGGAGGGATGTTGCCCTTCATGTTGCCCTTCTCAGTTCTTGCTTAACCTGAACAACGTCAGACGGTACCAGAAATGTTTCCGTGTTTAAATTTTTTGTTTTTTTAATTTTTTGTGCAGCTTGGTTCCGGTTCAGTGAAGATATATGTCATTTTAACTAAACAGAATATTTTCTTTGCCCTACAGCCTTTTTCTACCACGTTTTTGAAGCTCAAATACCATGTTTTTTTTTTCATAATTCCCCAACAATTACAAAACATCAATGACCCAAACACAAATGTTTCCTCTTTGTATAACTGGTTTGATACTCATTTTTCAGTTCAAGGCTGCTTGTTTATGTCCTGACTCATCCCAACTTTCTGCTCTGGAAAAAGAGGCTGAACCCTCAGATTGCTTCAAACTGCAGCCATTTCTATAAAACCTCCATGTTAAACCATGAAGCTTCCAAGTATTGAATTTCTTGTAAGTGCAATTAACACTTTCACTAATATACAATTCAATGTGTGGAATTTGATAAAATGATA